CATTAGCACACACGTCAGCAGCGTACACCCATGGGCAAATAGTAGACGCTAAATTAACCAATCAGAGCGCGCGCTTTGCTTTAGTTATGTTATAAAATACGAACATCGTCATAATCATACGCATACTCAATTCTGCCCGCAGTTTTGTTTCTCGTATTTAACATGTTCAAGCGGATTTCAGATTTTTGGTTACTAAAAGCAAACAAAATCAACGTTGACTTGAAGTTTGTTGTACAGCGTGTTGCTTTACCTCTTAAATGGCAAAAACGTCCTATATATTCAGTTTGTAACGTTGCATCAACACCTATCTACATTTAGCCGCCATTTTATCGCTTGATACAAGGCCTCGCGCCAAAAATCGAAGAGAAGGAATTAACAGATAAAACCGTGAACGTTTTTCACGCTGCATACCTTCAGGGAACTCAGACTGCTCTTCTTCTGTTACCTGGCCGTCTGGTGGGGAATGGACAGTGAAAGTGCGGTCTCCAGGTGCTGGCCGTGATAATTCCACCATGAGACTGTTACTATGTTGGTCAACCACGTCATCTTGCCCAGGACCGGAGTTAATGCGATTCGTCAAATGCACTCGAACTGGATCAAAGCCTGAAACGAGGTTTTAACGGATCCACGTTATCATACGAGTGTAGTAACAATTTTAAGATCAGGGAATAGTTTCAGTGGCTTTTGATGTGAAAATAGCATGAAAGGATAATTAATGCTTTAGGAAACTCGAGGAAGCGAGACCTACAGAACCGTGTGGTTGTTCTCTTACAACGCGCATAAATGACGCGTTCTGCCTAACTACTCAGGCAGCATTGACGCGTATTCTATTTGACAATTGCATTATGAGTTCGAGAGTTCTATCACGCATAGAAATCGAGAGCAGATAATATAATTGTTTTAGCACAAATCTACCACTCCTTCAAACTTCATCTAAATCCTCTTCACAGACACTTCGAAAACGCAATTAAGCGGCTGTTATTTGTTAACAACCGCTCAGTTCTAGGCTACTTACTATATACCACAGAATAGATAGTAAGTAGCGTAGCCAATCAGAGAACGGCATTTGGGACAGGACGCTAATAGATTTATACTAATAACGCTTAGATACGGACTGCCATATAACCAATCAGGTTCGAGAACACTGTTTAAGTTTTGATAAGCGGTAATACCACACACGTACCTGTGTCTTCTCGAGCCATCTTCATGGCTGACACAAACCATGATATGTCTTCACCGTCAGCATTCCTCTGATACTCTGCCAACATGGCGAGGACGTCCACAAGATCGCACTGAACCCCAATGTCTTTGGAGAGAGCATAAGGTTCGTCGGAAGGCAACGACTCTGCATCTGTCTCTCCATAAGACAAGGCACCAGGGCTCTCAAGGAAATCTTCAGGGAGATGTATGAGATCACCAGGAGCGTTAGCAAGTTGTGTCTCATTGAGAATATGTACAGGGGATGACTCTATGTCTGAATGTTCATCTGTCGGTGTGGCGTCCACTTCATCAGTTTGTCTCACAACAAGATGAATAGGATTAAAACCTGTTCGAGAATCAAACGTATACAATGTACGATAGAGATCGAAAATAAGAGTCAATTACAAAGTTTGACAAATACATTCTGAACAGAGTACACATTGAGTAGACTAAAACTTTTCCAAGGTTTGAAGTTAAGTTAAGCAGCTTAGTAAGCCCTTTTCATAATCTTCTCCAAAAGTTTAAGACTCTATCTTCATGGCTTACGACTCTTTTAAGACATATCTTTAATAACACAATTTTAACCCAAATGGTGATGTCACTTTGCAGTTATTGCAAACCCTGAACTAAGCCCATGCATTAGAAGGTAACCAGGCAATCAGTTTATGTAGAATTTTAGATCCATGCTTTACTGTCGGTACCATAATCTGCAAGTCACTCGATGATTCAAAATAGGCGTTAAGCGAGTCACACCTTACGACGGAAGAAAACATCGTTTCACAAACCTGGTGGGATATAACCGAATGTGCAAACGCTTTTAGGATTTTAATTGGTAGAATCTAATATTACATCCAGAGTACAACACTTAAATAATGTTACTATGGTTATATAACAAACGTCACAGCGACAGTTTTGTTTCATTAAAGAGCTCGTGGAAAAGACAACGAGCAGTTACCCTAGAAAAAGTTAGAATATTCAAATTTTTCTTGACCTATTGTTTACCATGGGTAAGCTGAATGCACTATGCGTTTTAGCCAGCCGCAATTCATATCTGAGTTTCTGAGTTTCGGTTATAGTTAAACTGAAGTGTTTAGCTGTACATAGCTGTACGATTATTTTTTTTAAAATATGATCATTATTTTTAAAATTCTTTTTGGACATCAAGAAAGTAATTTGGGCTTCAAATAATAGATTAACTAAAATTACGGTTCGTATTTCAAAAACGTCATTTTTCATTCTCAGAATACCTTCATTAGGCTTCCCATTTTTTCACACGTGCCAAAGTTTATCTGAAGAGTTTATCTTTAATTCCCTTTTTCAAATCTTAGCCAGTTGAGTGTTCTTTGTGTGGTTAAGAGAGCATTTTACAACAGTTTTATGGTTTAATTTGAAAATTAACAACATGCAGAATGAATTTATATCGCCTTTATTTCACATTTACTTTTGGTAGGAATTTATTACAGTTTATACTGACATGTATAACTTGGTAAATATTTAAATTATTGCCCGCTCTTCTTCGATTTAGAGTGAAACTGATCTGGCACATGCACATGCACGAGGCACAAAACTGAGCACAAACCTCCATTTGGTTGTGTCATTTTTAAGGCGCTCACAAACCACGCTGGGACATCTTCGCCTTTTTCTTCAGCCTCCCTGCTTAGTTCTTGCAACAGTGAGCCGAGACCTTCTAGCTCACACTGAACACCAGTCTCAACTTGCTCTGAAGTAGTCTCCATGATGCTATCACTCGGATGCGTTTCCCTTTCTTCAAGGTATTCCAAGTCGGGCAATGTTAACTCCGTCATGACTCCAACGTCTTGTCTTTGGACGTCCTCTCCTCCGTCGTCTTCTTCCTCGTCCAAGATGAACTCAGGCTCATCCAAGACTGGAAGATAGTCCAGTTCTGATCGTAAATCAACCAACGTTTCGGCTTGGAAATCTTCGTGACCAAATTCCTTAAACAAAGGAGTAGCTCTCATTTCTGCGGTACTTTCCAGTTGGTCTTCAAGATCTCTAATATCTGAAAGTGTTAGCTCTGTTTCTGTACCCTTGTCATCTTTCTCAACATCACCGTCACTTGGAGGTTCTCTACTGCCATCGCCATAGACATCTCCCAGCACCTGAAGGTAGTCAATATCAGAGCTTGTCAAGTCTGTTATCACCCCCTTGTCATCCTTAGGTGCTAGCATTCCTGATAGATCACCTCCGTCTCCACTGATCTTCTTCAAGAGATTTTCAGCTTCTTCGAAGTACTCCAAGTCAGCAGTTGTCAGATCCGTCATAGCCTCTGCATTCTCTTTGCTGACTGCTTCTTCAGCTCCAGCCACGCTGTTCTTGTAGAGAAATTCAACCTCTTCCAAGTGCTGCGGTTCAGATTCGGTGAGTTCAGTCATAACGTCCTTGTCTTCCTTGTCAGGTTCAATAAAAACCCAAGATGAGTCTGATTCCTGTGATTGTTCATGCTTCAATCTTTCAAACTCTCCCTCGACATACTCTATATATGACACTGTCAGTTCTGTCATTGTCTCCACATCACACTTTTCAGTCATGTCCTTTGATTCTTGAGCAAACTCGTTATCTTTGTACAAGCTTTCCAATTCCATCAAGTACTCCACATCGTCGTGCGCTAGTTCAGTCATGATTTCCTTATCTTCTATTTCCTTTTCCAGACAGGAACTCGCTGCTTCCTTTAGACATGTCAAATCTTCGATGGTCACATCTGTCATTACATCTTTCTCCTCCTTCTCCGCAGAATGTGCTCTTCTGTACTCGTCAAATTCCACCATCGTTTCCTTGTAGAGTACTTCAATATCTTCATAATACTCGAGGATGTTACCTGTCATTTCAGTCATAGTGTTCCTACTGTGTGTGTTGTCACTATGATCACTTATCGAAGAAGACCTTGACCATCGTCTCCACTTTGGTGTTTTGCTTCTTTCGTGTTCAGTGGCAGCTGATTCCAAACTCTTCAGGTCATAAGCGTTCATGTCCGTCATTGTTCCTACACTCAATTTGTCCTCCAGGCCTGCTTTACTTTCTGATTGTTCTTCTCTGTCTTGCAAGCATTCCTCGTGTGCAGCTTCCACATCCTCAAGGTATTGAAGATCTGACACAGTTAAATCTGTCATTATTTCCGCATTTTGTTTCTCTACGGTGTTGGTATCTAGCTCATCTTGTTTGTCAACAAGACATTCCTCGTGTGCAGCTTCAACATCTTCCAAGTAGGTTAGATCTGATACAGTACTAGTCATATCCGTCATAATTTCTACACTTTGTTTCTCCACATTTCGCGCATCTAGCTCTTCTTGTTTATCAGCAAGGCACTCTTCATGAGCAGACTCAACATCTTCCAAGTATTGTAGATCTGTCACAGTTAAATCAGTCATAACTACGGCATTTTGTTTTTCTACACATAATGTTTCTAATTCTTCTTGTTTGTCTTCCAAGTTCTGAAGATCTGAAGCAGTTAAATCTGTCATCATTTCAGCATTTTGCTTGTCAACACTTCTTGCGCTGGTTTCTAACTCCTCTTTTTTATCAGCAATACATTCCTCGTGAGCGGCTTCCACGTCTTGCAAGTACTGAAGATCTGACACGGTTAAATCAGTCATAACTTCTACACTTTCCCTCTCCACTCCAAACCCTCTCGCCTTCAGCTCCTCTTCTTTATCAGCAATGCATTCCTCGTGAGCTGCTTCAACGTCTTCCAGGTATTTTAGGTCCGACACCGTTAAATCTGTCATAATTTCTATATCTACTCCATTACCTCCAGCTTGTAACTCTTCCTCTAAGTGCTGAAGATCTAAAACAGTTAAATCTGTCATCATTTCAGCATTCTGCTTGTCAACACTTCTTGCGCTGGTTTCTAACTCCTCTTGTTTATCAGCGATGCATTCCTCGTGAGCTACTTCAACTTCTTCCAAGTACTGAAGATCTGACACGGTTAAATCTGTCATAACCTCTACACTTTCCTTCTCCACTTCAACCCCTCTCGCTTCCATTTCCTCTTGTTTATCGGCAATACATTCCTCGTGCGCGGCTTCCACGTCTTGCAAGTACTGAAGATCTGACACAGTTAAATCTGTCATAACTTCTACACTTTCCCTCCCCAATCCAAACCCTCTCGCTTCTAGCTCCTCTTGTTTATCAGCAATGCATTCCTCGTGAGCTGCTTCTACGTCTTGCAAGTACTGAAGATCTGACACGGTTAAATCTGTCATAACTTCTACACTTTCCCTCTCCAGTCCAAACCCTCTCGTTTCCAGCTCCTCTTGTTTATCAGCAATACATTCTTCGTGAGCTGCTTCAACTTCTTCCAAGTACTGAAGATGTGACACGGTTAAATCTGTCATAGCTTCTACACTTTCCTTCTCCACCCCAAACCCTTTCGCTTCCAGCTCCTCTTGTTTATCAGCAATACACTCCTCGTGAGCGGCGTCAACGTCTTCCAAGTATTGCAAGTCTGACGCAGTAAATTCCGTCATAGCTTCAGCATCTTGCTTCTCCGCACTCCGGGCTTCTAACTCGTCTTGTTTATTAACAATGCACTCTTCGTGAGCAGCTTCAACATCTTCCAAGTATTTAAGATCAGATACGGTCAAATCTGTCATTATCTCCACACTTTGCTTTTCCACATCATTCCTTCCCCTTTCAAGTTCTTCTTCTCTGTCTTGTAGACATTCTTCATGTGCGGCGTCAACCTCCTCCAAATATTGCAAATCCATCATCGTGAATTCTGTCATGACTTCTACATCTTGCTTTTCCTCGCTCTCCACTCCACCTTTCATTTTCTCTTCTTCCCTGTCAAGCAGACACTCCTCGTGGGCTGCTTCCACATCCTCCCAGTATTTCAGATCTTCAACAGTCAACTCTGTAGCCACACATCTGTCTTCTTTGTGAAGGGCATCAAATCCTTGTACGGGACAACTTTGATGAAGTTCTCCTGTTTCTTCTAGAAGATCAAGGTCGGGAATAGTTAAATCTGTTGCGGTACCTTTGTCAGCGGTCTCTGTCGTTGCTTCTTTTTTCATGCTAGACCTAAGGTAGACATCTTCCACTTCTTGCAAATGGCCTACATCAAGAATTGTCAGATCTGTTCCCGTGCATTTTTCGTCTTTTGCCGCATCCTCTCCATCACTACCAGCCTTTTGCCGATAAAGCTCTTCAACTTCCACCAAGTATTGCATGTCATCCAAGGTAACATCAGTCATGCTTTCTTGTTCCCATTTTTCCACTACAGGTGCTGATTCCATCACACGGGCTGCATTCTCGATGTAGAAATCTTCAAGCTCTGAAAGTTCAACAAAAGTTAGGTCTGTCATGCACTCTTTGGACTCCTTCTCAGCATGACTCAGAAGAGAATTTGAATCAGAATCCACTTCATGAAGATGATCCTTGTACAAGCTTTCCAAGTCTGCGATATCCTGCATGGCTATATCTGTAATGCTCTCCTTGTCGTCTTTCTCCACTTCAAATTGAGCTAGTTTGTTTTTCATCTCCTCCAGGTTCTCCCTGTAATCTCTGTAGGTGTTCTCAAGGTCCTCAACTTCTTCCCACACACCCTCAGTCATGTCACACTCATCTTTGGTCTCTGTCATTCCCGGATAGGTTTCTAACACGATCTGTGGTAAACCTTCGTTGTCTGCGAACTCTGGTGCATCTGTCATGGTTTCAGCTTCTTTCATCTCAACGTTGAACTTGGCATTGACGAGGTCTTGCAAAGAAATGTCAGTAGAACTACCCTTTTCGTCCTTCTGAACTTCAAGGAGAGCAATCTTCTCTTCCAAGTCTTTGATATGACGTTCGTAGCCTGAACATTTGCCTTGTAAGTTGATTATATCATTCCAAGCCAGCTCCGTGAAAGAAATTTCAGTGCAGCTGCACTTTTCGTCCTTGTCAACTGCAATCAGCGCAAGTTTACTTTCCAGTTGCTCGATATTACGTTCATAACTACAGCACTTGTCTTCCAAGTTGACAATGTCATCCCATTTCAGTTCCGTCATCTCGCACTGATCTTTTGTACAAGTAAAGTCTTCTGGGAATGTGTCCAGCACAATTTCAGGTAAAGTCTCCACAAGATCAACTGAAGAAAGCATAACCTCTTCCTTCTCTGAATTAAATTTTGATTCAGGTTCACGAGCGTTCTCAATACACTCAAAGTATTTACTTTCCATCTCGGCAAGTTCTGACAAAGCAAGCTCGGTCATAATACCTACTTCGCTCTTACGACTTTCCATTTCCTTCGCCTTTTGTTTAAACTCATTGCTTAAAGACAGATATATGTCATTATTTGCCTTTTGAACAAGTTCTTCCCAAACTATCTCTGTAATCGTTTCTCTGTCATCTCTGGATTTTATTACTGGTGTTTCTTCACGATATGTTTGATAGTTACTTTCTAATTCGTCAAGCTCTCCGCGATCAAGCTCTGTCATTGTTTCATTATCTACTTTTTCTACCTCACCTTTACTTTTTCCAACCGTAAATTCGGCCGGTGACAATTCCGCAAGAATGTTTCTGTGTGTTTCCTCCAATTCTACCAAATCTTGCCAAACAAGATCAGTCATGCATTCTTTATCATCCTTTTCCAGATCGAACAGGCCGCCATTTCCCCCGGGTCCCTCTGGAAAGCCATTCAGGTATTTCCTATACATATTTTCCATACTAACCAAGTCCTCCCAGATCAGGTCCGTCATACAACACGTGTCTTCTGTTGGGACTCTTAGATGCGCATGCTTAAGGTGATCCGTCGCTTCTAGCCGCTGGTCTCTGTAGCTTTCTATTTCATCAAGCTCGCTCCACTGAAGATCTGTGAGCGTCTCTTGGTCGCAAGTGAACACTGATAAGCTTCTGGACTCATCGAACTCAGACTTCAGGGACTCGCTGTTGTACTAAACATTAACGGAAAAATGTTATGCTCAGTAAATGAAGACGACTTTAGTTCGATATCGATGATAAAACACGATGTCAAACATGGGTTTAACCGTCTCATGATAGGAATAATGTAAGACTCTTTCGCAACACTTCAATCACTCCCATGGAGAAGTGCGGTGTGATGACCACAACTGTCGATGCGAAGCTCTACCACCGAGGTCATGGGTTCGAATCCCGTTCAGGCCTGAATTTTTTTTTCAGGCTTAAATTTCACAACTGCTTAGGTTGTGTATATCACTGCGACGATTAATCATGTCTTCATATCTTTCTCCGCAGTTCAAATATATGATCTTTAATATATTCACTTAGTGAATTGACCCAGCGAAAACGATAGTAATGCAAGCCTTGAAATTGAGCCCTTGTGTAGCAATGTGTAATCTCTCCTTCACAGTTCAGATATATCCTAATTAGAACTAGTTGTCAACTATCAGTTCGTTCATTCTCATTATTTCGTATTGATATTGTTTGCAGAAGTTAGATGCCGATCTATATTACGCTGATCAGGGTGATGGACATATCACAGAACAGAAGAAGGTTTGATCAACTTACACCCAGGTCCAAGTCCCGGACTTTGTCCCTTAATGCAGACTCCGTGATTTCCATGTGATTGATTTTCTATTTGGCAACAGGAGAAAAAATGTACATAGCTCAGCTTTCATTAATTTTATTCACCACAATACTGAAAGTTTAGCTATATGGTAAAACTGGTTTGAGACAAACAACAAAGCATTATTTAATAAGGGTATTATGAACGTAACCTGTTTGACTAGAAGGAAATTATATCTAACCTCAGCCATTGATTCTAACATCGCCCTGGCTTGCTTCAGAGCACTTTGTTGTACTGGAGACAACACATTTTCCTTCAAATAAAGAAACTTTTTCAGTCACGTGTGAACAAAAGAACCTATTACAAAGCATCTCCTATATAAAATTACGCAAAAATATGAATTTATTTTACTAACAGTATCATCTTCTTTTAATTTCTTAGTCAGTCTCCAGCGACCCTATTCAGAGATAAATAAGCTTTCACAGAAAAAATATTTGAGTGACAAAACATTCTTAAAACATGCTTTAAATGTATGTCGCGACTTTTAATAAGATGTTCTTAACATTTTCATCTCAAGCTGGAAGGGGTACGCACGAGAGATGAGGTGCCACATCTTTCCTGTCACAGGATTTTTCTCTAACGCTGTAAATGTAACCCTAAGTCTGTTTTACCGGCAGTTGTAGCTTCCCTACTGTTAAAATTTTAGCTTCTCTATGGTATACAGAATACCATTTTTTTAAAACTTGATATTCTGTATTTCCCACCTTCTCTGTTTCTAATTCTTCTAGACAAGCTTTGATTTCTTCCAGCGATAGAACAGCAGAACCGTTGTCCTGAGTAAGAAAAAAGACAGATCAGTTACCAGAGACTACGAAAACAAAGTATTAGACTACACAGGCTATTGTTGAACCTGCATATTCAACAACTAATAGATACAATCATATTGCATACGAATCTTATCGGATGACAGTCGTAAGCAATATGATTATGGGTCTTACTTGTTGAATATATAAGGTGAACATGAGTCCGTGCAGTTGACGAGACATCTTGCGCCCGATCTTGCATGACAAGAAAAACCAGCTACATGTTTGAGAGTTAAATAATATATCAAAGCACTTTACCATCATTCTTGGAGACGGAGATATTTCAAAATCATTGCTTCTGGACCTTCTGGAATCCCAGTCTTCTGATCCTGCAGTCTACATAATGCATTGACAGTAATTAGTTACAATGAAGCAATTGCAAACAATTACATGCGTTTACTCGGATTCAAATTTCTTGCGTTCTCAGACTTCTCGCAACGCCTGCAGCGTCTCTTACCAATCATAGAATTTATGCATTGATTTAGTTTCTTCATAGTCAATCCTTCGGAGATTTGTATCAGATTCTCTCCTCAGGTGTCCAACATTATTTTTGCGGCATCAACTGTTCCTATTATAGGAAAGATGAGTAACGAATACCCTTCACGTTCCAGAACTCCCCTTCCACAAATAGTTTCCAATACACTTCTCAATAATACGCTTTTGCTACTAAAAGAAGCACAGTTACGTTACTTTGAAATATTTTGGCCACGTACAAAATCACCTTGAAATTGAAGGAAACCTGAAAATAATAGTTTACTAAAAAAAAAAAGCCAAAGACATAATAATAAACCATAAAGGAACAAGGATGGTTAAGGATGGAAAAGATTAGCATGGATTACAAACAACGAACTTGATGCAAGAAACGTGCCGACTAGCTCCTTAAACACCACATAAGGCTGTTTTGAAAACGCAAGGATTGCCAAAATCTTACGAATTACACTACATATAACTGATAAAGAGAAAAACTGAAATTTGGGTTCACCCTTTTTACCACGCGCTTGACTTCAAATGACGTCTTACAACGCGAATATCAGCTGTTAGCAAAATAAAAATAACTTACAGACAACTGTGACATTTCTTCCAGTTCAAACTCCAGCAAATCTCTTTGATCCTGTAGCTCTCGCATGTCCTAAACAACAACAAAAATAATGTTAAAAACAGCTTTAAAACACAAATTTTCTAGCTGGTTTCCTACAGCGATTCAGCTTATGATAGTTACCTCATTATACTTGGCCAGTTCACCTTGTGCTTCATCTCGAGCTTTCTCTGCTGAGATCAACTGAGGATAGAGAAAAGCAAAAAACACTTACTAACAGAGAAAGCTTTCTTACAAAAATTAAGATTTAATTGTGCAATAATTATCAACTGTATAAGAGTTGATGAGTTATTACCAAAAGCACCATCAAATAGAAAGTTATCAAATTATTTATATGTTTATGGTGTTTGCAGTAAAGCTGACAGTTACATGTAAGTGCATTAAACACTCCTTTAAACCAGCAAGAACTAGAATTATAGTGAAAACCATACCATGTATACTGACTCAGAGATAAGTTTGAACAATAAAATTAATTGTTGAGAACACATGGGTTATTGACCAAGCATGAGGTCAAGATGGCTGGATGTTGGCAAAGTTCTTTTTTTTTGCCTGTTGATGTGACCTTGACTCTGTCTCGGTCCATAAACACACAAAAAAGAACATGGCCAATATCTAGCCATCTTGACCAAACAAGCTTGGTCAATAAAGGATTTATTATATTGAAAAAGAACACTATTTTTCTGTGGGAAACAGCAGATAATCCCGAGTGGGCAAGAGAGCACCATCTTGCCTGCTCAAGAAGCCAATCAAAGCACAGGAATTGGTTCATCTTGCCCGCTCACAGAGCTAGTCATCTAATAACACTGCTTATAGCTCTGCACAAGTTATAACCTTCCTTGGTCAAGTTGATTCTCATAATAACTCCAATAATAAAGTGATCTTAGTTTTCTTGTTTGCCATTTTGTTGGCCAGTGTATCACAGTAACAAAGTAATAAAATGCAAAACTAGTGCAAAAAAGAGTCAATGCCAAAAAGAGAGCATACCACAGAGCTGGTTTGGTGAACCAGTTAGTTTTATTTCATAATTTACAGTAGCCTTACAACCACGCCCACAAATTCATGCACATGACACCACGTACCTTCTGATATAAATCCTTGTTATCTGCTTGGAGTTGAGACATATCCTCTGAGCCAGTAACCTGCAAAATGTATTGTCAGTTTGATCTTTATATAAAACCAACAACTTTCTCTGCTTTGATTTATGGGTATACAACACAGACACTCCAGCTATTGTTGCTAATTGGGTGGTTCCAGAAAATATACATACCTCCACAAAGGATGGTTACCTGGTTTGTGCCCCCCCTCCACTTTCCCCTAGAATTTCAAGTTTAGCTTTATATTTTCCCTTTACAAATTGGGCTGTAGAGACCCCCACCCCCACCCCCTTAGAATTTCCATTGACCATTCTTGGTGTGGGTAAGGATATTTTCTGGATCTGCACATTGTGAGGCACAGTCCATTTGGATGTAAAAGGATGTCTTGCTTTCTGAACAGCATAGCAGTTGATCACAGCTTGTTTAGAATGTCTTGTCATGTGAGTGGCAAAGATAAAAGAAACTGGATAGAGATCAAGATTAACTAACAGATTGTACTACCTAAAACAATAATGTCAACAAACCACATTGTCAATTGGTCGGGGTTTGGTACAGTTTGCTTAATGCCTCTAAAGTTTACGATCTGGAATTGAAACCTATAAAACTGTTGGCAAAAATGAAATAAATTTGAGACATCTACCTGTTGTCAATTGTCCAATGTGTTCAGATTTTGCATTCTTGAAATCACAAATGACAACCATGCCAAGTCTAATTAGATTAATTAGAAATAATTCTCAAACTGAAAGGGGAAACATCAGCGAGATGGCAGTACCTGTCCACTATTATTCATCATTCTCTCAAGCTCATGAATTCTTGCTTGGCTCTCAAGTAAGTCTGATTGAAGCTGTTGTTTCTCCTGTGGCAAACAAACAGAATCCTACATCAGTATACAGGTACCAAGCTGTACAAAACAGAACCTTTTATATTATCTAGCTGCTTAGAGTACAAATGTCATGGTAAGGTTAAGTATCAACACTTTTTTACTGTAGAAGGGCCAAAACACTATGGCACATTTTCAAAAACTCACCATTATCTTCACGTTTTTTGCATGCAACTTTTCTCAGTGTTTATTTTGCTTCATTATTACTTTTTGTTCATCCCTCTTCATGGGGAGATGAGTAATTTTGAGGTTCATTTTTTGAACTTTTATCAATTAAAACTGACTCAAAATATTGAAACATAGTTTCTTTAATGTTGCCTTATTGAACCATCTGGAGTTTCTCAGAGCATGAAAATAAATAATTGATTAACAGTTAACTTAGGGTTAATTTACCTTGACAAGGATAGTTACAGAATACTGAATCAGTTAAAACAAATTTCGCAAAATTCAATGGCTTATTCATTATTCAGGATTATGACATAATTATAATTACCATTTCATCTCTCTCAGCATCCACTGCACTGCCAACATGAGCTTGCAGGAGTGCATAGGCTCGTTCCAAAGCTAACAACTCTTTGGCTAGCTTCTTTATTCTTTTGCTGTCAACATCATCACTGGATGACTAATGATAAGAAAAAAAAAATAGACTTTTCAACTTCTGCATTAATTACATTTGTAGCAATTTTTCGTGAAGATAAATTAAAACAGTACTCAAATGTTGCTTTGTAATAACACTGGGAAATAACACTAAAGGTCAGAACTAATAGTTTCTTATTTAATCAGAGCAGACAAGGTGTTTCTTCAAGTTTGATGTCACAGAAAACCTTCACAGCAGCCTTAACATAAGCTGATTTCAAGTCAGGTTACTGCAAGATCTGAACAATGATTGTCAACAAAGGGAAGCATAATCTGTGACAACAATCCTGCTGAGAGTATTGGTATGCTGTACAGCTCAAATGACAACATACAGTCTGATGACTGACCAGTGAGTGCACATGGACAACACAGATCTGTTACTAAACAACCATGACAGGGGTTTCACTGACATTTCCAATAGGAGAGCAACTGGTTTTCACAGGCCAAACATTTTGAACTGAACTTCTTTCCTCTAGATGGTCAAACCAGGCTGGCAAAATCTTCTTCACAGTCAGTTAATTTTCCCTGTGCATAGCCCTTAATGAAACCCCTGCCATGACCTCATTAAAGGGGACATGGACTAAATCACATCAATTGATAAACCAGTTCTGTTATGAGAAAAATGCATGGTTACAAGATGCCTAAGCTTGATTTGAGCAATTATTAGCTTTAAGGTAGATTTTAGAGACAAAGGAATGACCTGTTTGCTTGATGCCACAAATTCTTTTCTTAAAGAGCTAGATTCTATGGCAACAGGAAGTTACTTAAAGGAATTAGTTTGTACAAAACACAATATTACAAATGAAAGTATAGATACCTCAGGAAGCCATCACAACATTTGAAGTCAAGCATGAAGTTTTTTATGCAAATAGATCAGTTTTCTGTTTTGGTGAACTTGTTACAGTTTATTGCTCACTTGGAATGCTAATGTTTACATTTATTTACTCTCCAATTGCATAATTATTATGAGTTGCTATCATTCAAATCTAATTACAACTAAGATTAACACCTGCACAACATTCATAATAGCTACATTGGAGGTCACCGTCTTACTTGCAGATTTTTCAAGTCACCTAGGGCTAAATATCGTAGGAACTAAAATGGCTTAAGTGGATGCAAATTCCAAAAGATGGCTTTGAGTAATACATGTGTTTGACTTCAACAAAAGGGCAAATGACATTGTTCAAGTAAGAAAGAAACAGTTTTAACTGAAATTATTGATAATTGACAGCTATTAATTTGCTCAATGTTAACTTGCAAATGTGGGCTGCAGTTATTAGGCAGTGAGGTGAGAAAACTTATTTGCCTATCACTGTTTGTGTTTCATCATTACAGTGGCCAGTGGAATTTCATTTGATTGGAGATCACAGAAACTGGCTCTAAATGTCACGAGTGAAAGGAAGCGTAATCAAAGTAATAAAAGTTACTGACAGCGACTTGTTCCAAAGTTTGCTACATAATATCTCATTGCAATAATAAATTAACTGAAAAAATGGCCAGCAGGCAACAACATAAAACTGAACTAACCATTTCTGAAGCTTCACTAAAGTCGGAATGAACAGACATCCTATCATCATCAGTCACTGGAAGAAATTCTGCAGATAGTGAAGTTGGGCTGGCCTTAAAAGAAAAAAGTTTCCAGTAAGCTCAATGTCAACTTCTGTAATCAGACAAAATGGCTGTGACCCTGGAGGGGGGGGGGGGGGGGGGTGGGGGTANTCGTTGAACTGTCAGCTCAAAAAACTCAGCAATTCTTAGCTATGACTCAGCCTCCCCGGGGGATGGTACTCCGAGAAAAATTGGGTGGGGTTGTGCGGCCCGCTACCCCTTACCCTATTTATGACCGTACTCTGAGAAATTGGGTACCCTATTTATGACCAAAATCTCTGATTTTCAATAACCTATTTATGACCTGACCCTAAATCAATATCCTGTTTCAGACCTGCCTTATACTTAATTCCCTGGTTCAGACTGATGTTAAAGGCATTGTGAAGGGCTTTTGTTGATCAGCCTTATCAATAATGATGAAAAAGTCTGTAGCTTCTTCTTCTGGAGTACAAAACCCAGACCCTGTTTATGATCAAAATGGCTAAAAGTGATACCCTATTTACGACCAAATTGGAAGAAAAACCGTAACCCTTTGAGGCCGCACATATCTAAGTATATAGCCCATATAAGGGAGTACCCCCCCCCACCCAGGTCTGTGATCAGCTTCATGAATGACTTACTGGTTGCTGTTTGCTCTTTTTCTTTCTCCCCCTCAAAAGTTCAATCCTTCTGTCTTTTTCCTGCACAAGATTTTATAAGCAAAATTAGTAATGGAAATATAATATGCATACCCACCTCAAAGAGGGTTATTGGAAATTACAAGCTTAGGGGGAGGGGTTCTCAAAAGCCAATTGAAAATTTTTAAAGGAAAGTATGAACCAAAACTGGAATTTCCAAGAGGATTGGGGAGGGGGGAGGGAGGGAATACCCCCCAAAAAGAAACATGTGATGGGTATGTACATGTTCTGGAACAACACATTATTTCAACAGTTTTTTCAAGGTATTTGCAAAAAACTTATAATTAGGGCAATTGATTTTGTGAACTTCAAACAGATTGCAGGAGACAGTGATAGAGGAATGTATCTTGAGTTTCATCATTCATTAAGTACTTTAACTGCTAGAAGGTCACTAACCATCAAGCTTTGCTTTAGATCGGCAATGGTCCTGGTTTGTTCTCTCATCTGGGCCTTCAGGTTGCCAAGGTCATCCTGCTATAGGAAACAAATTGCCCTGTTTTTTTTTCCTTTCATCTTCCTTCCATGTACTGAGATAATCACCATAATTAATTAGGACTTTTCTAAATAATAGTTTTTCTTAAAAACATTCTTTGGCATCTAACACTGAGGGTGTAATAATAGGAACTTAACATGACCAGCTCCATGCTGGCTTGACAGCTCAATCGGTAATAAAAGCAATGCAACAGTATCGCAGAGGTCACAGTTAAATCTATCTTTTTTATATCCTTCATTAGCATATCAAGCTCATTTACCATACCCAAGTTAAGCCAAAACTCAGGTGCTGCCTTATTAGGACACTGACATGAGAGTGAGGATATCAGGACACTAGATAAAGCTTGTGATTGGTCAATTTTGAATTCCGGTGCAGCAAAATTAAATTCAGTGACAGAAATGAATTGAGATTTACCTCCTTGCTTGCCTTCCCTCTTGGTTTCACAGAGTTCTCCTTTCTTCCTGTTAAGCTTTTTTTCTGTGTAAATGATAATTTGAAATCAAAACTGTGTTTATCAGATTTCTGATTGATGACCTAGGGTTGGGAGATGGAAGAAGGTGGAGGAGTGTAAAGGGGGTTGGAGAGGGTGGAGAGGGGTAAAGGGAGGTGGAGGGGGGTGGAGAGGGGTAAAGGGAGGTGGAGGGGGGTGGAGAGGGGTAAAGGGAGGTGGAGGGGGGTGGAGANTGTGTTCTTCAAAGTGAAATGGAGTACTACTTTAATTCCGACGATGGGGTGGAGGGGGGTGGAGGGGGGAAAGGGATGGAAGATGAATTATGTAAGACTGAAATGTTATTAAAATCTCACCTGAGAGTTGACTTCATCCAGCAACAGTTTATTCCGGCTTTCAAGCCTCCTGTTGGTTTGTGATAAATCAGCATTCTTTCTCTCAAGCTTCCTGTTCTTATCTCTGCTGTCCTTTTCAAGTTTTTCTAACTCAGCCAGCTATTGAAGGGTTTGGAGATTAAATATTACAAAAATATGTTCATGTTATGGGCTCAATTTCAGTCTCATAAACTAAGGCAATGCTAGGCTGAGTACTGAAATTGTTTCACGACCAGATTACAGTATCACACACTGCATTCAAAAATTCTACAACCTGATACATATTTCAAGGACATGGCAAATTCTGTCCTTATTTATTTACTTACAGTGTAATCTTTATTTCTTCAATGATTCACTTATTTATGTCTTTATCTACATGTACTGCATATTGACATCCATAAAATGGATGGATCTATAATTTTTTTTCCATGCACTCTTTTTCATTGCTTTACTTCTTTTTTGCATGCAAGTTAGGATGAAAAAGCAATTGAAGTCAGCTAAGAAAGGAACACACGCAAACAAAGATTCACAATTAATGAAGGAGTTTCCATGGACACATATTGTGGAATGAACGTTTTTAATGTTCTCATTTCCAATAGCTCTGACTCCTTTAAAAAGACATAACTTCCCTCATACCTCAGTTACCATGAAAATAAAAACAATACAGTGTACTACACATTTTCCAACACTAAGCAAATATCACTTCCATTCATGACCTAAGCACAATATCATGAAAATCACTTCAATTCGTCACTTTGCTTGAACTAACTTTCTGGGAATTTCTTGAGTCTAAAATCTCCTTTAGTCCAATTCCTGCCTAGGTTTAATAGCTAGTTTATATGTACAGTGTAGTTACTTCACATCATGCAATTATGCAGAGTCTAATTTAATTTTTCAGAAAGACTTTTTTCCCCCTAAACTACAAAATTATGTAAATTTCTTTAAAACATAAAATTGGACATATCGAGTTAAATTTATCCATATTTCCATCATTTTGAAGCTGACTGTGGTGCCTAAAATTAATTACAAATCTTATAAAGGGTGTCTTTATTGATAGATTGCAGGGTTTATAATTTTTAAACATAAGCAAAATTGTCACTGATAGCAGGTCCTTCACACATGACCACACATATTTTAGACTGGTATTTCAAGCATACCAGTTCTGCATTTCTTGTTGCCAGCTGTTGATTCTTTTCGTCCAGCTTACGAACCAAAGAGCTGAGCTCCACATTCTTTCTCTGCAGCATCCTTAATTCTTGACTGCCACCCTTTGAGTCCTGTGGAAAAAATACCAGTCAGTTTGGCACAAATGTAGGAACATTTACTTTAGAACAAATATTTCAATTCCACATTTTGAAAGCTACAAGTCAAAATATTGACTACAAAATATTTTGTTATCACTATTGACAGGAAGAAAACTTTCCACATAGTCATACACTTACCATTTTTCAAGATTTCTACCATTGACAATAAACACACTGTCTGACATTGGTTAGTGTTTTATTTTAGGTGATTACAGTTCTTGGCAAAAGCTTTTGTTTGCATACATTAAAATAAATTTGTGTTCATATCTTGTGGTTTTTCTGTTGTTAACAAACAGTTCTCTTGATGTATTATTAATTAAATTTATTGGACTTCCTAACTTGACTACAAGTGTCAATATCAACTTCTCTAGTTCTCAGTGAATTTTCAACTTGTTTAAGAACACATCTGTATATTACTATACTTCTCACGGAAGCTTACACTGTATCAAAATAATTTTAATATAATATATAATTATTCACATACAAGTTACCCCCTCAAAATAAAAACATTTTGGTCTGAAACCACATGAGCACTAAAACAATATCTGATAGATTCTTGGCATTATGCGCCTTTGAAAAAAGGGACAGATTGAAAAATTTATTCTTGCATATTTCATGAGAATGGAGAGGTTGATCACCAAAAAACTCTGGAGTATGTGAAAGCAAATGTCCCCCTCCCCTCCCTCCCTAACAACAGAAACACACGGCAAACTTGTTTCTTGTGCATTCTCCCCTCCCCATCCCCACCCCACCCCCCAAAAGAACAACAACAACAACAAATTGGGAATTCAAAAGAAGTGAGAGACAAAATGTACTTACGGGAATCCCTGCTAGGGTTGCCTGGCCTGAGTCACTCTTTCCAGATGACATCATTCTATCCCAAGCATCAAATGTTGATGATTTTTTTAGCATGTCATGTAAACTGTCTTTCTCCAGGCGTAACCTCATTGAGTGCCCAGCTTCTAAACCAAGTTTCTTTTCAAGCTGCTCAATAATGTTCAGCAACTGACGAATTTCAGCCATCTGCAAAAATTATGCAATATGTATTACTTCCAAAGATGACCACTGATGTCTATACACGAAGCATTAAATTATTAAAATAATTACTGTGGAATCCTGTGGTGGAAAAGAAAAATGGATCGAAAAATCAGGAGTTCAACATGTCTGCATTAATATTACAGTGAAACGAACACAAAGAAAAATGACTGTCTTGTTGGCAATAGATGATTCAAGAAATCAGGATTCTAATATGTCCATTCAGATATTTACAACATGTAGACTCTTAAAACTAAGAATAAAAACAGATTTAAAAAAATTTCACCACTAGTTATTAGACTATATAATTATTTTAAACCATTCAGTTCAATTTGAAAACACTCAGTACCTTTTTGTAACTTATTGTCAGAATGACAATAGTCCCATATTGTTTCAAATTGCCTCATTCACAAAGAGTTCTGGTTAGCTCCTCGGTAGCTGTCCGGTATTCTACAATTACTCCAACCATTCTGTCATTTACACCTTGCACTCCGGCTGTCTAAACAATGACAGCTCTTTCCTTTTGAGTGTGACAACTGCATGTTTCTATTACAGTTAGACCCGGCTAATTCAAACTCAGTTATTTCGAATTACTCATTATTTCAAACTCAAAACCATTTTCTTTGCATTTTCCCTTCAGTCATATATGGTCATATCGGCTATTTCTACCTCCTGCTATTCTGAACAATTTTTCATTTCCCCTGCGAATTCTACATAGTAGGGTTCAATATTGTAATTTTGATAACATTATTTTGTGACTGACTGAAAAAAAAAAACTCTGAAAAAGAAGACTCATTAAATATAATTTGACAAGGAAAGTGTTACTCTGCCTTTTCGTCTTAGTTTACATAATTTCTGGAAACCTGTATGATTGTTTCAACCCTGTGCTAATTTTAAGAGGTCGTGGATTTTAATAGCTCTGCTTTACATAAATGTAGACGAATCTTCAAAAATTCCTGAATAATATTTTTTTTGTTCCTCTAGAAAACATCCAAACCCCTCCTAAGAAGGGATTTTTGGTTTGAGCGCCCCCTCCCCCAGCCCTATTCCGCAGCAAATTCCAGTTTTGGCTCATACTTTCCTAGGCATTTTGATTTTACCCCCACCCCCCTTTCTGAAACTACACAATATTAAAAAAGACTTGAAACATGTGGATTACATTAAGATCAAATAAAAAAAAATGCAATACCTTGGTCAAGCACAAATCCGAAAATAAAACCCAGCCGTCCAAAACGGAAAGCCCACAAGCCAAAAGTAAACAAACGAAATCAGTGAGTTATTGTAAATTTCATAGACATTGCAGCGGGTGTTTATTACGCAAAGCCATTCAACCGATTTACGTAGTTTTGCTAGGGAAGTATATTATCTTACGCTGCTCTTTGAAGATAATGATGGAAAAAAATTGAATATCGGTGACAATTTTTAACACAACAATAGAATCAATATAGAGCGACACTATTCACAACTTGACCTCTATTTTGAGTTATTGTAGTTTACAGACTATAAACTACAGATCTCAAGTTGTACAGCACGATGTAAACGTCACGTAGTGACTAGAGATTTTAAATTCAATTCGTAGGGTTTAATGGGGCCATAGCTTATTTAATCGACACGCTGTTAATGGGGTGACCGCGATAAAAATAAGATACAATAACTAGCTAATTTGCGCTATGAAATCTACGTCACCTGTTGTCTGCTCTCTTGCCACGAATTTCTTTTAAATTTCTCAAGTTCTGCCTCATGTTCGTGCTGTATTCTTCGAATATCGTCGATTTTTCTTTTATCAGCACCTTGAACAAGTTTTAATGTTTCTTCTAGCTCCCGTTTCTGTCGATCAAGATCCGCGATCTCCTGTTCTAATCTCCCGCGCTCCTTTTCAAATTCCCGTTTCGTATCTTCGCGGGCTTCGCCTCGAAGTTCGTTTCGGACCTTCGATTTCAGGTCGTCTTTTTCCTTTGCCCAAGCCTGCTGAGCACTTCTTAAGATTTCATCCTTTTGTCTTATTATCTGCATAATTTCCTTCTCCTTTTCCTTGTGCAACTGTTCTCTCAAGGACGTAAGTTCATTCATCTTTTCCTTGTGTAATTTTGACCTCAAATCCGCTTGCATTGCCGATGCTTTCTTCTGCTCTTCGTCCCGAACTTGCCTGATCTCTAATACCTTGTCTCTCTTGAGATTCTTAGAGTGTTGTCTCTCCTGTTCCAATTCCTTGTTAAGATGAACAATCCTTCTTCGCATATCCTCCATACCTGACTTAAAAGATGCATTTGAAGCCGCAAAACTCGACTCACTTGCCGTAGTTTGTGGTGTATACAGTGGTTGTGAACTCGCTCGCCTGAGATCAACCGCTTTCTCGCCTTCAGACCCTAGATTCTTCCACGATTGACTTCTACTCATGTTAAATTTGCAGCTGTCCTGTCCCTTGGAATTCTTACATCTGCGTTGGTGTAGTGTTCGTTAAAGTTTACTCATCCATACTTGAATTTAACATGCATTCTTGAGGACTGAGTTCACGTCTTCGTGCTCCGTTTCATGACAACGAGTAAACATGTCGCCAATGCGGCTCACTGGAGCATTTGCGCGTTAAATTCCATCAGACAACTTAATTCCTTATGCAGCGCCAGTGTCACTTATGGCACAAATCTTTTCAGTCTGAAAGAAAAGAAATATTTCCTGGGCAATTGTGAGTTGATAGTTCCTTCGCACTACCTTTACACGCATAAATAATTTGGTCACGCTCGGGAGAAAGCAAGGATATCAAAATCGTTATTTTAGCAGGGTAGGGTAAGGAAACCAATGCTTTTCTTCCCAAAACGTTTTTTTTTTTTTAATTTGTCTTTAAGTTTAATTTGTCGTTCTATCCACATAATTCCAGTAATATCAGTATCTGCTGTAAAATAAACTATAAATATAATGAGCTCAGATCAATATATCGCGTTAGAAATTTTTTTGATTTCTACCCTTCCCGCGTTAAAAGCTTCCTTTTAGTGTTCAGTTCCAGGCCCCAAGTTTCGAAGGCCTATATTGTCTAAATTGAATTTCAGTCGATCCGGCCATCGTTTTGAGGCTCAAGTGTTGGTCCAAATTAAACTGAAGGGAATTCCAAGATGACATTAATGCTGTAAAAATTATGCTCTTAACAACAATAATTTTTTTCCTTTCCTAAATTAATATAATCGGAATTATTCATTTGGTCTAAGTAGAGCATACGAATCACTTCAATCTGCATATGAAGTGCTATCAAAACAGGAACTATTTAAAAAAAAAGAATCATTTGGCCTTGGCATGTTTAGGTATCATTCCAATATGGACAATCGGTGTTTATTACGCGTGTCCGGTCTGTGCTTGATGGTGAAGAATGTTTTGGAGTATGTCACTTCCGTTGCTAGCCTTAGCACGTGAGAAACGTTTGAGGTTCTGATTGGTTTACTGGTGATTGTAAACAAGGGTCCAAAGAATTGATCAAAATAAAGGAATTTTTTTCCTTCATAGAAAACTTTCGTATTTGACATCAGTTGCGTGTAAGCGTTTCTCGTATAAGTCAATTCATAAATGGCGAATAACGTAAATGGAGGTAGTCATAGTTCCATCGAGTCCTTGAATGGTGAGTTTCGCAAACGAACCCTGCGCGTTCTCGAACACAATTAACACTGCGTCAAAATATTATCCGCAACACAAATGGCGGCCGTTTGGTTGTCATCTGTAACAGTGCTCTATTTATCCTCTCACAGGCTCGTGGGTAAAGCTGGATGGCTCGTTCAGAAACGGCAATGGGGCTCAGCATTCTCCAGTCATTTCAGAAGATGGTGCGATGGAAGATTTACTTGCCGAGGCTGTCGAGGAACAGTCGAAACAAGGTTCTAGGTGGGTTAGGTGATGGCGCCGGGGTTACGAACTAGGCTGTGGTCCGATTATCATTCATTAAGTTTTGACGGGAGGGTTAATATTAAGCCTATTTGTGTTAGAATGGTTAGGTTCACTTTGTCTTTTTTGTTATTTAGTGGCGAGAAAAGCCCTTCTAGCTCACCAAGTCCACCTGGTCTTCTGCGAACGGTATGTATTAAAAGCTTACTTGTTGCAAATTTGCGTTCGTGACGCTGGCTTCATTTTATCGTGTGCAGAATTTTGTCTGTGGCTCGCGATCGTTCCATCAACGCTCTTTGTGCTGTAAATGGTCGATTATTTTGTTCAAGATACCTAAAGTGTTCTGTGTTTAAAGGATTAAAATTAACTCTTGCGTAAATTAATAAATGCTTTCCTTGCGTGCTCTATTGTGAGACTTGCAGTTAAAGCTCGTACTACAATTCAAAACATACTTCAACATGATCCTACTTTAAAATGTTTCCTTCTTAATAGCTATTTACCGTACGCCACGTTGATGTGAATAATTTTAGCTTTTTTTTTTTCGATTCAGTGAGAGTAAATTAATGAACATGGAGAATCTGGAACAGGAAAATAGCTACATTGTAGCTTTCATGTCATAATGTAGTAGAAGCTTTCCCGCCTTCTCAGGACACTCTCCAACCGATAACAATGGTGATAAGAACTTGTTTACAAAGAACCCTTGCTGAACTATGATCTTTAAGACGTGAGAATATTTTAGAGATATTTGCAATTTTCGTTTTTTCCTTCATTATTAAACGGAATTCAATATTAAAGCCCTCATTGAAACACAATGCCAAAATAGTTAGCACAATATTAGTGGCTATTGAGAGCTGGCGCATATTGGTGCTTTAGATCTCTTCTTTCATTGTTCTGTGGTCTGAAAATACAATTTCTCTCTTCTGGTCTGCATAGAAGTGTCAATGGATATTTAGAGATGGTAGAACTTTCGGTCAGTTCCTTTATTTTCGAGATTTGCAAGGCATAAACATTGTCAGTGATAAAATGCATTTTGACTGTTTTTAACTTAATTTAATCATCAAGGATTTATATCACTGGATCATATTGTGCCCACTCCTTAATAGACCTCTTCAGCTTGGGGGGTTTGTTTTCCCATTGTAGACCACTTGATATCCTCCAGAGAATTTTTCTTTTATCCATCTTAAAATTATTCATTCATATACATACGACTATTTAAAACTTTGAAAGCAAGAATTCGCAAGAGTATCATCACGTGGTCTGCAATGGGAAAACAAACCGTCCAAGCTATAAAGGTCTATTGACACAATTCTTTTGCTATTTGAAGGGTGATCCAATTCTTCCTCAAGAGCGGAACACGGACTGGATTTGGGAGTGGTCGAGCAGGATTGAATCGCAACCTCCAAAGTAAGTTTCTTTCTCTTAACACATCGAGGATTAACACATCACGCATGAGTAGACCATTATTTGTCAGCAGTTATTGTCAGGTCATGTGGTGGGCTCGTGGCCAATGAGAAGGAAGAGAAAAATGCATCAAATGATAACAACGAAAGAAAACACATGGATGAACAAAGAGATGACGTCATTCGCCCCTGAAGATTTTTTTTTGGGGGGGGGGGGGGGGTCTATGATGGTAGAGCTTTTCAAGGGGGGAGGTGCTCAGTATGAGTTGCCTCATGCAAATTGCAAATCTCCCTGGGATTTTTGATTTTTTGAAGGCCAGCATCCTGTTGAACAGTATTATTAAGCATCTCTAATTACTGTACCTATTGAATGTGAAGAGCAGACATCGCAGGTTTTTTTTTCATTTATTGCTGCAAATAGGGATTGGAAGATGCAACATCCGACAAAGAAATCAAAGCCACGTGGTTCAACATTGAGCATCAGAAGAACTAAAGTTATGAGAAGGTAATAAATAGAAAAATGGACCAAACCCTTAGGAGAGAGTGAAAGCAGTAATCTGTCTATTTGTTTTTCAAAAGAAGGACTCCCAAAAGTCATAGACATTCTAGGTCACACCTCCAGCATTCCCATGTGAGGAAGAGAGCAGCAAGGAGGAGGGGTGGGGGTAGCAGAAGAGGGTATACACAACAATTTTAAACAGGGAGACTCGTCCCAAAGGGCCAAACCCTGAGTTACCCTTTAAATTATTAAATGTCATTTTTACGGAAAAGGTAGCGCTTTCTCATTTACCTGTGTAGTCCATTATAGGGAATATCCCCCTCATGAACTACTCACTGTCTTGGTGTGAATAAAGCAAGGTCCATTGTCATCCCTTTGTCCATACCATTCACTGTAATATTTCAACTGGGTCATTTTGCCATGTTAGTCTAGATGCCAGTTTGATGAGTTAGCATGTTTAATTGACAGTGTAATTTACATCTGAATAGAGTGACTTTTAACCTGTTAACTATTTAGATAATGCTATTAATACACAACTGACTTGGTAAAATAACTGGTTATTACTAGTTTACTTTGAATGTTACTGTTTAATAGTATTGCAGCACTAATTTGTTTTATTCTTGCAGTAGTTCTGAACTGATGAACATCAATTTCTATGTGGTTGTTCCTGCTGTTGTACTATCTCATCTGATTGCATTTGGAATTGGGTTAGTGAATAATTTAATGCACACCCATCAGGAACATATCGTAGAATGTATACCAAATGAAATCCCTTCAATTAAGTACATTATTATATCAAGAATTGTGCAGGTTTTAAATATTTAAAATTATGAGAAGTAACCGGGCCAAGTGCTAGTGGTTAAATATGTACAGTCTATATTACTTCATTGGCGTTTACTGCTTCTATTAGTAATGAAGTTGAATGAGTCAAGCACACTAATCATGAGGCCACTGCAACTCCCTGGCCAGGGACATTGTGTTTGTGTTCTTGGGCAAGACACTTTACTCTTGCAGTGCATTTCTCCACCCAGGGTACCGGCAAACTCAATCCCTTCAGTGGATAAGCATCTCATCCAGCAGGGAGGAGTAGAAATGCTTCTAGTTGCCTCATGCTACTGAAATTGGGATAAGCACCGGCCTGATGAGCTAATAAAGATGACGTCTACTTTGGACACCTACTAATGGTGTCGGTATGTTTTTGCAACAGTGGTATTGCCCCTAGCCCTCCAAAAGTTGAAGTACAATGTGTGGTTCCGGGAAATTTTCATATATTTTTATGCCTTCCAATATTTCTCAAATGAATATTCTTTTGTGAAACATTATGTAATGGAAACTCAGAATTATTGCTTGAATTATAACTATTGTTAATAATTTTGCAGAGTTTACGTGGGTCGACGCATGGTTCAAGTTGATGCATTATGATCATGGTGACCAAGGGAAACATGAAATCTTTACCTGTCACTGGTTATGAAGTTGTATGCTGAAGAGCACAAAAATTGTGGATTGTCGATAACACACTGGGGTGTCAAGCTTGGCAGTATTGCACAACAGTATTATTATTTTTGATTTTCAAATAACCGTCTTAAAAAATTTTCTTTTTAATTTTTTGCTTCAAATTCAGTGTTTTTAAATGGTATAACCCTCCCTTTAACATGGTCAGGCCTTCCATTGATGCAGACATCTTCAGCACAAGACTAGTGTAAACCACATTGCTGGGGAATCTGTGTTATGTGTGATTTCTATGAAAGGCGGCTACTATATATATGCTGTAGATATGTGTTGGGGTCTCTTAGAAGGGGTTTCTGCTAGTGGAAGACTGTCTGTGAATTGATGGAAATATCTGTTACATGCAAGTATAGGTATACATGTAGGTATCAACTTTGGGGCAAGATGCGTTTTAGTGGGTGATATGTTCTGCTGAAGGAGGCGTCTCATTATAGTCAGTAGTCTACTTATGGGGTACACATTGGCTTAATGCGCACCAAAGGGTCTGTGTTAGGGTAGGCGTCTGCTTGTGGAAGGTTGACTGTTGATTATTAAATAGTTTTATTAATAATTTATTCGTTAATAATAAAATTTATTTAATAATAATTATGAACATTTAAAAGTCACACTAACTTGTAGAGTTAAATTATTGTGAAGGTATAACTTACAATTTTTTATCAGTTGGTGGTAACTTTTAAGTTACTTGGAAAATGCTCTTGACAGTTCATTTTTAATTTTTTTGTTGAAGATAATGATACATTATTTTGTCTGATCAGAGTAGAAGAGTGCATTATTTTATTATTACAGCTTACATAGATGCTTATTACCTTATGTAAAGATGATCCCATGTTTATGAAATTTTTTGTTGTCTCTCTCAAATTGTGATAGAACTGGCAAAATAAAATTGTTTTCTTGTTTATAAAATTTGCTTGCCCTTGTTTGAGCATTTATTGCAGTGTCCTAGTTTATCACAATTTGGACATTAGCAGGCTGTTTACAAGGGTGTTCAGTAATAATGAGGCTGAGACAGTGTATCTTATCCAAGTATTTATTGAAATTGCTGTATTGAGTAGTTTTTAATATAATTGTAGGAGGAGAAATTAGCAGAAATTAAGTTTGACAAATGACACCAATTGGTGTCCACTATTGTGGATATACTGCATAATTTTTATGTAGGCAACATAAAATCTGATACCTAAAAACCACATTGGATTGTACAGTGTAAAACAATCTTCAACAGTGAAGAACAGTGGTACAATGTGCGACATGATCTCAACATGTAAGGGAAAGTGTGTTCATTCTCTGTCTTGAGATAATTCATGGATATTAAGTGGAGTTCTACTGAACAGTATCCATTATTGCATTTAAATTTTTATTCCTTAAAAAAGTTACTAACAATGAAAATATTTCCTTTATAGAAAAGCTATTTATATTCAATCTTTCTGTTCAGTGCTACATCTTTTTAAAGTTATTTACAAGGGTATACATTTTAAATGCTATGTCCTATATTTGCATTTTGTTTCACCATGTAAATTAGCACTACCATATTATTTGTGATCTATAGTATTAATTAAAGACTGAGGTGTTTACGGGTTGTTGTTGTTGTTCAATTTGGAGTGACGATTATTTTGCCATTTTTTCATGGCTGAAACTGCCACTTGCAGCTTGGTCAGAACAGGCTGCTTTTGGAGTATGGGGTGAACAAAACTGCATTGACAAGTAATCCAAGCTACTGTAGATTTTATTCCTCAGAAAATGCAAAGGAGCCTATTCACAGGCTAACCTGCAATGTTTCAGTGGAAGGTACACCAACCTAAAACTTACCCTGGCTATTGATAAGTGTGATTAAACGTTAAATTGGTTGTTTGTTTCTCTTTGATTTTGTTTGTTTGTTTGCTTGTTTGCTTGTTTGCTTGTTTGCTTGTTTGCTTGTTTGCTTGTTTGCTTGTTTGTTTCTTTTTTCCAATACCTCCAAAGATGCACATCTGCTCTACATGTATGCTGCAGGAAACAACCTGTAAGCTGAAATTACAGCAACATTCATCAGGTTAGCACAATCAGTTTTACATAAACAAATGATTACCTTCAATTTAGACCAAAGGAAAATACCAGACAATTGACACAGATTCTAATTTTATTACCTGTTCAGTGTATGACCCTTTGCTCATATGAAGTCATGGGTTAATGTGTAGTGCTGCTGTACAATTTGCTTAACATGTATCATTATTTTAGTAGACTATTAATTTAGAGACAGTTAAATACATAGACATACATATACATCATACTGCAAAAGTCCCAAGGTTATGCAGCAACATTATATTTGTACTTCAAACTCTAAGTGATAATATTGCTAAAGAAATAAATGGCATTAACTACAATAATATTTGTGCAGTCTTCCCAAAGGTGAAATGACTTTTCAGTTAGATACCCTGCACCATAATACTTTCTCTCCCAAATTAACATTTTAACACACAGTTACAACATGAGGATAAAACTAATATATATCCAACTGCAGCATATACTGTCCAAATAACAGTACAAATAAATATACAGTGATATTGTACAGTTATTTGTACAGTAGAAAACCTGTTTGCCGAACAGGTCGGTGCATGCACACAAAACTGTCCCACTCTCCCTCTTTCATTGATAAGTTTATTGACTACAGCAAATGGATAATAAATCTCTTATAAAATCGCTTTACATTTTTACCTGGTGTTTGTATTTTGACTCACCCTCTACGGGTTCATCAAAATATGGCACAACTCGTAAAAATATACAGCAATACTACACACCAAAACATCTAATAAGAAATATATATATATATATATATATATATATATATATATATATATATATATATTATTTTAAGGAAAATGACCACTTTTTTAAGTTTAAAAGACATGT